TAGAATATTATTCTATTAAATCTGATAAAAGTTATAAAAAAAAAAAAACGTTAACAAAACAAGTAGGAAAAAATATCTGTCATAATCGTCTCACAACTTGCGTAGTTGCCACGTAACACTAAAAATATACATTCAAATTGAGAATATAATGAAGAGTGAATAAATAATCTGTTTCTACCACTGTCCGAACTTATATTTTTTTATTCAGCCTTGGCAAACAAACTGACGGCCCATTTAATGGAAAGTGATAACTGGCGCATATATATAAGTCCTATATTTTAAATTCAATATTTTTGTTTTAATGTATGTCAAATTTGTTTATGGTGTACGCTGTAGAAAATGACATAAACTCATTATTATTATTATTATTATACGAGTATTATAAAAAAAAATTGTGACGAGATATCCCACGTTATTGCAAATTTTTTATCTACGATTTTTTTACACTGTGGACTGTGGGATTTGTGACTGTGACATTCGACGATTTTACGTACATATATCATTTCTGGGGTAGGTAATCACCGCCAACAGTATGAATGAACTACGCAATTGACTTCAATGGACACACAATAAAAAGTTACGACACGACGACTATTGGACGTATTTTATGTTCATCTCGCTCTTGTAAGATTTGTCTCTTTCTAATTGGTGGTTTAGAAATTTCATGGCAGTAGCATGCGTCACGAACACTCGTACAAGTCGTAAAATGTAGAGATTTAGACAGGCTTTTACGGGAAAATGGGGTATAACTGTGTCTGTGGCAAATGTAAACAATTTTATGGGTTAACAAGTAATCTTTATACTTACATAAAAGGAGAAATGACAAACTGACTGATTAGTAACATCCAGATAAAGTAGCTGAGTCTAGAGATATTTTATATTGTGATTCTTTGTACATTTTTTTTATATAACTTAGAATGGCAAACAAGCTGACGGCCCACCTGATGGAAAGTGTTAATTGTCGCCTATAGACATGAGCAGTACCATGGATATACCAGAGTACACTGTTTCGCCCATGATACCCCCCATGCGTTGCCATTCCTGAGGACTCAGGTGTTATTCCTCTGTACCCTGTAAATTCATGCCATATCCCACCCTTCAAACCTAAACACAGCCATGCAAACAACTGCTTTACGGTTGAAACACGAATGGGACAGAAGTACTTAAGCAATCGACTTTTGTACAAAGTCTCCGTCTGGGGACATACAACGTCATCATATCATATCAACCTTTAACTGTCCACTGCTGAACATAAGCCTCCCCCTTGAGGGGGGGGGGTTTGCCAGTAGTTACCGGCAGGCGGATTGGCAACCGCAGTCAGGTTTTAGCGATGTTGTAAGAGGAACGCTGCTGCTTGATGTAAGTCGTAAGTTACCTACCTCCTTTATGAATGACAGTCGAGTCACTTTTCACCTGTCACTGCGGAAGGTGGGCGATGATTTATAAGGGGTATGATGTATACAGATATTTATAAATGTTATATGTGTATATAAATATATACACTGCCGGTCAAAAGTTTGAGACTAGAAAAAAAAAGAATTTTCGTTCGACGTTCCGCCGAAGAAAAGATGATGCCACAGTGTGTAGTCCCGACTGTCATGCATGGCGGATTTGTTATGGTCTAGGGTTATTTCTCAGGTTATAGGACTAAAAATCTGGACCAAATTAAAGAAATTATGAAAAAAAGAAATTATGAGAATTATAAAGTAATTTTAAAAAAAATGATATTCTCTCCGGACTAAAGTTAATCGGCCAAGGATTTATTTTCCAACAAGACAGTGATCCAAAGCATAGTTCAAAATTATGTAGGGGCTATTTAGGTCAAAAACAGTCGGAAAAAGTGTGAAATAATATGGCATGGCCACCCCCAAGCCCCGATTTTAACCCTATAGAGTTTTTGTGGGAAGAGCTTGACCGAAACGTGCGAGAACAATGTTCTACTTCACAGCAGGCCATGTGGAATGCATTAAAAGAAAACTGGTGAAATATCTCGCAAGAAACTGTAAATAAATTAATTGCTTACAAACCAAGATTGGTAAAACGGGTCATTAAATGCAAAGGAGGATATTTTGATGAAAAATCTCTTTCAAATTTCTTGTGTGTGTTTTCTTTAGAACATTGTATTCGTTAAGGCTTCATGTTATTTTTGAATTTCAAATCTTGTGTCCAACATTGAAATAAAACCTGTTTTTCATAAAGTTTTAAATATGTTGACTTTAAATTTAAAAAAAATATATAAGAAAACAAATATGTTTTCTTATATTTTTTATAGTGGTCTCAAACTTTTGATCGGCAGTGTATATTCAGCAATACACACATGCACGCAAGTTTGTTGACTCCTCCTACATAACTGAATTTGGTTTTTGTTGTGTTGTTTACGATAATAGTATAGTATGATATTATTTGTGTTTTCAATAATGTTCGTAGGCGGTGTTAATGTATATCCGGTCATGTACATTTATGTGTATATATAAGTACCTATATATTTGCATGGATAAGCAAATCACTACATAGTATAAAACGAAGTCGCTTTCTGTCCGTCTGTCTGTCCCTATGCATGCTTAGATCTTTAAAACTACGCAATGGATTTTGATGCGGTTTTTTTAATAGATAGAGTGATTCAAGAGGAAGGTTTATATACATAATACATGCATGATATAATAAAAAACACTGATATTTTTATAAATAACTGGTTTCTAATGTGATGTGATGTAATGTATACCCGTGCGAAGCCGGGGCGGGTATCTGTATAAAGGTATATTCAGATATTTGAGCCACATTTGTGAAATCAGGATGAGAGAATTTTACATTGTATTAGTGATTTAGCCCGGCTTCGCACGCGTAGATACAATTTAAGAAAATAATAGAGGAAGTGCAGCATATTTGGAATACTGCAGGTAATTTGGAATACTTCCATATCTGAATCAATATAAACGCTGTTTTTTTGAAGTAAACATAACGCCATTCGATATACGAAGCCATAGATAGTTAAAATCAGGACACCATTTGGACATTCCGGCTACCAGCCCCAAAGAAACGAGACACTTGTTTTGAAAACTTTTTCGTAAGAATACAATCCGTTGTAATCTTTACTGTAATACTTTAAATCTTTGTTGTAATTATTTAAACAGCTAGTTGACCTTGTTAGTTTAAGATGTTACAATGGTTTGGTGAATATTTCTAAAATTAAAAATGTGACATGGATTTTTAGGTAAGGTTGGTGTGTTGTTAATTTGGAATACCGAGAGTGAACATAATTTAGAATATTCCAAATTTTATGCATATTTTATAAGTAGTAATAAAAAAGAATACTAGCATTAGAAGCGGTAAGCCAGCAAGATCGGCAGCAATTTCAAGTTCTTCTTATAAAAAAAGGTCTTGAGAATGCATAATTTAAAAAGTGTAATAAAGAAAACAAAACAAAGAGAAAATATTAAGGAAAAGAGCAAGAAAAAGATAGCAAAATAGACAAGGAAAAGAAATATGACAGAGAGTGATTCATCAGATCCGAATCCTAGGGCTATATCTGGAAATAACACAGACTCTTCCGAAGCAGTTGTGTTTGCATGGCTGTGTTTCGATTTGAAGGGTGGGATATGGCGTGAATTTACTGAGTACAGAGGAATAACATTTGAGTCCTCAGGAATGGCAACGCATGGGGGGTATCATGGGCGAAACAGTATACTCTCTTATGTCCATGGTACTTACTGCTCATGTCCATAGGCGACGGTTACCACTTTACATCAGGTGGGCTGTCAGCTTGTTTGCCATTCTGAGTTGTATAAAAAAAAACTTAAGTTTGAAATCTCTGGTATCAATAAACTTCATTAATTCTTTTTTTAATTATATGTGTTTACTCTTGTATTGTCAATAGTGAAGTCAATAAAATGTTAAGTATGAGGATTTAATTATAAGTATATATGCCCAAGTACCTTGTTAAATATATAAATACTCGCTTTAAGCCGTGACTTCGCCTGCGTAACCCGAATAAAATGTCGCCTATCTCCGTTTTCTATTCTATGTGGTATATATATCAAATTTTACAGTGATTCGTTAAGCCGTTAAGGCGCGATAAGACAACAAACAAACAAACTTTTACATTTATAATATTACTAAGGATTATTATGCATACCTACATTGCTTAAGGCAATTAAACACGTGCTACGTGGCTTGTGTATAATTTTAAACTGTTTAATGCAAATACACTATAAAAAAAGATGATTATCACATTTTTACTTTGTATTAAAACGCTAGAGTGCTAGGTAGCGTAAATAAATTAATGTATAAGCCCGGGTTATTCATCCATCAACCTAAACAAACAAAGCGTTATGAAAATCGAAGCCTCCGTAAGTTTGAAGGCATTAGTAATTTAATTTAGCGATGTTGCTTAGTTAGGGGTTAATGAGAGAGAAATGGCGGGAAACTGCGACCTGTTGCCTCCTTCCACTGTTTACTTTGATCCACCCCGTTTATAAAGCCTTCCTATTCTACGCTACGAACTAGACAACTGAAAGCTCAGTGTTAAAAGAACTTTCAGACAGGCGCCTGTTTGTTACGGACGCGAAAACATTTCGTCTAATCGAATTTCGAATGTAATTTTTGTATGAAATGTACATTTAGAAGAATAATAATAATTTGATTTAATTAATATAAGTATTCAGATTGCCAAATTTAATAATTAAATAGTTAAAGTTGTTGTTATTAAAATTTAATTTAGAAAAGTGACAATATTGTGATTAAAGTTAAAATATACAACTATTTAATACTGTACGATTTAATATTTAATAATAGTTACTATTTTGTTATTAATTTATAAGTATTTAAGTATAAATATAGTGACAATATTTTTCTCGAGTCGGTTTACAGAAAGTTTAATTTCCAAGCGTGTATATTATATAAAATAGTTAATTATTCTTTGAATTTGTGATAAGTTAAAAAAATAAGCTCTAAAAGGGATTTAAATTGATTAATGACTTTCTTAAATAAATGTCTGTGCTATCAAACTATTTAGTTAATAAAAATAAAGTTGAATATTATAGTCGCCAATTTTCGAAGAGAGAATATAACATTTTGAAGTGAAGAGTGGAGATTGGAAACATGGATGTGATGAAAATATCCTTTTTGTTTCTGTTCATCCTCGTGTTATCTACACAGTCGGAACGGACAGTTTATAAAATAGGTGTACTAATGGCGTCGCGTTTGGACTCACCGTTCGACCTGGAGCGGTGCGGTCCCGCCGTCGACTTGGCATTGGAGAAAGTAAACGAGAAGTTCCTGTCGCATCATGGAATTGAACTGCAAAAGGTGCAGGGAAGGTAGGTAGTTCGAGATATTAAATTTAAATATTATATACTAGTCTTTACTCGGGACTTTGTCGCATTTTTTTATGCAGTTAAGGATAGTAAACAAGCTGACGGCCCACCCAATGGAAAGTGGTGACAGTCGCCTATAGCGATGAACAGTACCATGGACATAACATAGTACATAACATAGACATAATTTCATCATGATTAGTCGAATCGTTAATGCTATAAGAGACAGTAAAAAAATCACTTTCACGTTTATACTCGTAATTTTTTTTATACTACTTTAGTGGCATATAAGCATACGGTCCGTCTGATGGTAAACGGGGTTACCGTAGCCGTACCGTAAAGGATAAGGATTAGCAAGGACTAATAAGGATTATTGTAATTGTCATTGTAAAATCTCTATTGTACATACTTTACATTGTATTCATTAAAAAGAATTAATATACAATGGCGGACTTATCCCATAGAGGGATCTACATATTACAGTCAATCTTTAGGAAGCTGAAAGAAAACTGTAGAATGTTTGAGGATAAAAATTGCATATTACATAGTTAAAATAAACATACTGTTCCGTACCTATATTACAATAATAAGTAATTGCATATACCTACATATATAAATAATAATAATACATATATAATATAAACATATATATAAACAACACATATGTAAATACATATTTCACAATTGGTTCAATGAAACACGAGTTTCATAATAAAATTTTATGATAACTACTTTAATGCTGCGTGCTGAATATTCTTAGTATTTTCAATCGACTTTAAAAAGAAAGCACTTTCTCAATTCGATTGTATTTTTATTGTTATATATTTATAGTTTTTTTTATACAACTAAGAATGGCAAACAAGCTGACGGCCCACCTGATGGAAAGTGGTAACCGTCACCAATAGATATGAGCAGTACCATGTACATAAAAGAGTATACTGTTTCGCCCATGATACCCCCCATGCGTTGCCATTTTTGAGGACTCAGGTGTTATTCCTCTGTACCCTGTAAATTCACGCTATATGTTACCCTTCAAACCGAAACACAGCCTCTTACCTCGTAACTCCGTCAGTTATAAACCGATTTGGAAAATTATTTAGTTTGTTATTTAGTTTAGTTTTTTAATTAAAATTAACTGGTTTTGCCGCAATTAAAGTAGATTTTTTTGTAGATCACAATTGTAAATTATTAATTGATTTAAATATAAATTGGCAGGTATAGAAATTGAAGCAGAGTGGTTATTCTATATGACTTAAAATGACATACAAATTGATGGTCCGTCTAATGGTGGTAACTATCAGCTATCACCCCTCATATATACGTATTTACATTGCTGAGGACTAGGGTATTTTCTCTGTAGTCAGTAATTATATTGCCAGACAGGACAGATACATTTTTTATAATTTGTATGTCAGTCTATTCGTTTAAAGTTACAAAGTATTTATCTTATGAGAATATTATTAAAATAATGTACATATGTGTGTGTGTAGGATATCGGTTTTATAACTATATATATATCGTGGGGTGAGTGCCTGGTGATCTGTAACACAGGTGTATCCTATTTCAGACACCAGTTCTTCACTATTAAAAGAAGAAAGAAAAGGATATAATGAATACTAATTTTATTAATGTGAAAGTGTTTATTTTTTTATTTATTTGTACGTTTGTTCGTACCGCTTAGGCTACTTTTTATCCGCATCACGTGAGCGAAGTCGGGGTGATGGTTAGTAAATTATAAGATTATTAGAATTCTGTTAATACATATTATATAATTTTTATATTTATTTTGTAATGTGAATTGTAATTGCTTTTGTCGCTGTTAAGAAGCAAAGTGACTGAAAAAAAAGTCTGTCGGACAATATGAAATGAAATGAAACGAAATGAAACGAAATGAAACGAAATGAAACAAAATGAAACAAAATGAAACGAAATGAAACGAAAGGAAATGAAATGGAACGAAATGAAACGAAATAAAACGAATTGAAATTAAATTATTTTGCTAGAATGTAGGTAGTTTTCGATGAAAGAGGTTTACATTTCCCATATACATTCTGCTCTATGTCAGTGTGCAAATTATTAACAATATGAAAAATCTACATAATTCTACATTATATTTCCCCTTATTAGTTATACTATTTAACACACACATAATTTATTACAGTAATAATAGAAGAGTAAGTAGCTTTAAAACTGTCAATATAAATATGAAAAAAGGTTATTTGTGTTAGTGGAAATAATGATGAATGTCTGATGTAAGGAGATAGATATTATGGATACGAGTGTGAAGGGATACGGGTAGCGAGGGATCGACCAAGAGGTCAGTCCTTGTACACGACTTCATAAAGGAGATTTTCAATTTGTCTGTACATTTCTTGTGTGAATATGTTACGCGATGTATATTTATACGTGTTTTATTTATATCACAGTACAGGGCGTCGCAGTGTATTCTGCGTTCATGGTGCTGTTCATGTTTATACGCGACGGTTACCACTTTCCATCAGGTGGACCGTCATCTTGTTTGCCATTATATGTAAAATAAAAATAAAATTGCTACGATTGAAGTACCTACTTAATTTTTTTTTACTGATCAACATTTTTAACTCGTTATCAGATTGGGAAATAGTTATTCGTGTAATCGTTCTACCAAGTAAGATACAGCGTTTAGATGCATTTTTTTTATTCCTGTTCAATTTTCAAAAAGTCTTTTCTTCAAAATTATAAGACTTTTTTTATAAACTTTTATATGTTTTCATACCCTTTTATCAAGTAACCATTACTATTTACAAATAGTAAGTTTAATAATTAAAGAATGTGTCCTACAAAAAAAACCGACTTTAAGTGTGACAAACTCAGTTTTTTTTTTATACCACTGAGGTGGCAAACAAGCATACGGCCCACCTGATGGTAAGCGGTTACCGTAGCCTATGAACGCCTGCAATACCAGAGGTATTACGCGCGCGTTGCCGACCCTGAAGAAACCTCTTTACCCCCTTTTGAAGAACCCCATGCTGTAGTCTCTTGGGAAAACCTCGGCAGGGAGCTCATTTCACAACCTGAGTGTTCGTGGGAGAAAGCATCTCTGAAACCGCGTTGTACGCGACCATTTAGGCTGTAAGGTATGAGGGTGAACTCCCTGTCGATGGCGAGCCATACGATGATAGAAAGTGGCCGTAGGCATCATATTGAATAATTCCTCTGAGCACAATCCGTTGTATAAGCGGTAGAACACGCAGAGTGAGGCAAAATCTCTCCTAAGACTTAAGGGTTCGATACCGCTTGCAAGCATGGGATCATCGACAATTCTCATAGCTCGTCGTTGCACTGAGTCGAAGGGTCCAAGCTGGTATCTAGGTGCTCCCGCCCATAAGTGACAGCAATACTCCATATGAGGCCGGATTTGTGAGTGAGTTTTGGTTTCAAAATTAAACTACTCAACTAATTTTGATAACATTTCTATGGCTCCAATCTGTGTTTATCCTTTCAGATAAATAAAAAATATTTTTTTAAATCGGTTTAGTACTGACGGAGTCACGAGGTAACACACATAAAAAAATACAATCGAATTGACAACTTCCTTTTTAAAGTCGATTGAAAATGTTAAGACTCAAATAAATTAGTCAAAATTCTTCATATTCATTTAATTTTTTTTTTATTTCTCCGACTATTCTAATCTATAAATAAAAATTAATGCCACTTTTCGTTGTAATTTTATAACTCAAGAACAGGCTCACCTATCCATACCAAATATTTAGGCTTTGTTCGGACTATTTAGTAGATGGTTTATGTGAAGTTTGCACAAAATCGGTCGAGCGGTTCTTCATTTATCACATTTTTTGTAACAAATGAATTCAATAAATGTCGGATCATTTTGTTAATGGGGATCTTTGTGTCAAATTCAAACTTTTTTTAGGATGGGGGTTGTGCTGGTCAAATTGAAACTTTTTTTCAGTGTTAACAGTACAAGCATGTTGTTATGTCATTCATGCGGTCATTCACTAATAGCTAGCAATTAATAAAAGATTTTTTTTGTTTGAATAAATGAATTTGATGTTAATTTTTTTTTTATTATTTCACTTTATACGTAGCGAAGCACGTACCGGGCCGCTAGTTATCCATAATTTGTCCAAACACAATTTTTTATCTAAAATTGCGAAGTAATTGAAAATAAATACGTGTATAAATAATATTTCTTCCCGTTTTAAAATCAGATAACAATAGAAAATCTACGTGTCCGACATAATTCTCGCTTTGTTGGCTTGTTCAATAAAGTTGTTAATTAAATGTGTTTTAATCAGTAAGTACGTCTAAGCTGCTACAATACTTCATTATATTTAGATGAAGTGATACCCTCACAATTATTACAAAGGTTGCCAGGAAACCCATATTTACAGTGGTTTGGGGGTCGCATACATCTACTGGTATTGCGTAGTTGGTATTATAAACGACTGAATGAAGCTCTTCTAAATACGTAGGTATTTTATTAAATACTACAGATCGGGGCCGACTTCGCACAAGTAAATACCAGAGGGAGACTTTGTACAAAAGTCGATTGCTTGGGTACCTCTGTCCCATTCGTGTTTCAACCGTGAAGCAGTTGTGTTTGCATGGCTGTGTTTCGGTTTGAAGGGTGGGATATGGCGTGAATTTACTGGGTACAGAGGAATAACACCTAAGTCCTCAGGAATGGCAACGCATGGGGGGTATCATGGGCGAAACAGTATACTCTGTTATGTCCACGGTACTGCTCATGTGTATAGGCGACGGTTACCACTTTCCATCAGGTGGGCCGTCAGCTTGTTTGCCATTCTAAGTTCTATAAAAAAAAAAAAAAAAAAAAAAAAAAAAAAAAAAAAAAAAAAAAAAAAAAAAAAAAAAAAAATAGAATTTTAAAAAACAATATGTATTCGTTAACAATATAGCTTTTTATACGTGAAGAAATTTCTCAAATCGGTTGAGTAGTTTTTTAGTATAACCATTACAAATAAACAAACAGACAGATTATATATATATATATATATATATATATATATATATATATATATATATATATATGTACATACATAATACATGAATTAAAAATGTCGTTATGACTAGCTTTATTCCGAATAGCATAAACACAATTTTTTTATCCCTAATTTTAAGTTAGGTAAGTTAAGTGAAATTTAAAAATTCTCATGAATTAAAGCCATGAAAATTTCGTCGGAAAACGTTTGACTGCTGTCCGGGAATCCTAAGATTGAATAAAAGGCTAAACTTTCTGAATGTTTAAATTCACTTCGGATGATTATCCAAAACATGAAACAAATGTTTGTCATTTGTTTCATGTTTCATAGAGCGTCAGAGATCGGGACTCTCATACAAATAGTAGTTGTATCAAATTTTTTAAACATTTAACATTGTTATTTCAAATTATTTATATAGTTGTATCCCGCGTCTTTATTCGCGTAAACTACGATAAAATAGATCCTACAAGCTTTTATTCGCGACTCCGTTCAAGTGACCGGGGTATGTTTATTGACCAAGATAAAGAGTAGCTTATATCCTTCTTCTATCCTTTACAATACGTGTAAGTATATCAAATTTCATAATGATTGATTAAGCTGTTAAGGCGCTATCAGGTAACAAACAAACAAACTCACTTTCTCATTTATTATTAATATTAGTAAGAATGTATTAATAAAAATAAATTTTGTTCAAATAAATACAGTTGTTTAACTGTGATTCAGTAACAAGCATCGAAACATGTTTACAAACTTTCAGTTTTGGGTCTAAATCTCTCTCTTTTTGGTATAATATTAGTAAGATTTAGACCCAAGTTGCTTCGGGATATTTATTCCGTTTTGCGAATTGATTTCAGATTGTACCCTATCTGCTATATTTACTTACTCTATAGTCTACATTATATTCTGAATTTGAATATTATGTTCAATAAGTAACGGGCTGTAATAATAATGTACCGTCAATTGAAAATTAAAATTTTATGCCTCAACAACGAATCTTCTATTGAGTATTGAATAGTGATTTATTGTTTTTTTTTTGGAAAGTAAACGAATTTCTTTAAAACTTTATTTTATCGATATTTCTATACTGATATTAAAAAGAAGAAAGATTTGATTGTTTATTCGTTTGTAAACGCAAAAACTAATGATAAATATAAAGCTATTTTAATAAACTATAATATGCTTACTATAATATTATAAAGTTGAAAGCAAGCTTGTTTGTTTGTTACCTTATAGCGCCTTAACGTTTTAACAAATGACTATGAAATTTGGTATTCACGCATTATAAGGGATGGAAAAGGATATAGATTACTATTTATGCCGAATACAATATATAGCTCACTAGTAAAAGCTACTAATAAAAGTAGGCTATATATTCATTTCGAAAATTCTACCTACGCGCGCTGGGTTGAATCGCCAATGTAAAATGTATTAGAAATTTGGGGTACAGTTACGTAAATCTATATCCATTTTATATCTAGGTATTTGATGTTAATATTTTTGATATACAGGTAGAAAATAAGTACAATAAATATTGTTGTTATGATATTTGATGTGATGAGGGCAGTATAAACTTCACGATAAGACGATAGAGAGCTGCGCGCCACTTGTTATGCAGCCGGTGTACTGTTTTTACAGGGTTTGTTATTTCAAAGTAAGCAAATGTTTACAAGCATGCAAATAATATTCTATATCTATAATAGTCTAAACTTATTTGCTGTATTTATACCTTAGCCATCATTACGCTATTTTAGATAAAAAAAAAATCCGGATTGTCTATGGTGGTTTCCGAAATATTTTTTCTATGAAAAATTACATAGGGAGACTCGAAATAATCAGTACTAATTAATCATACTCACATAATTTATTTTTTTGTCATTCTGTTTGTTATTGTTATTAGAAAAAGATTTAACGACTTTAAATAAAGTTTTTTACTCAATTTTAATTTTTAACTTGCGGAAATAGATGGTTTCTAAATAGAGTATTAACATAACATATATATTAGATTTTAGTACGATCTTCGGGATCACAAATATGAAAATCACATTCAATTTGATACGAGAAGTAAAAGCCCTATACAGAACATGCTGTAGGTAAACTACATTTCATCAGAATTGGTTGAGCAAATAATATTATACAAAGGAAAGTAGCACCAACATAGAAGTAAAATTTTACTTCCGTTTGGTGCCAAAAAAAAAACTATCAAATCGATAACAAAAAAAAAATACAGATAAATTGTAAATTTTTTTTTTTAGAAGCCTTTAAAAATATTCTGTAATCAGGCAGTTTACTAAAGATATTGTTTTTTATTAAGTCGGTTTTCTGTCCACAGTTACCCATCGTGTTCAGGGGCGATAGCTCCGGGTCTGGCCGCGGACATGCATTTCAAAGACGACGTAATCGCTTTCGTGGGACCAGCCTGCGCTTTCGCCTTGGAACCAGTAGCGAGACTGGCTGCATATTGGAATACACCCATTATCACTGGCATGGGTGATCAGGTATGATTTACTTATTATAGCCAACTCTTTTCGCCAGAAGACTTTGTTGTCTGCAGTATGCATGTTGTCTGTTAACAAAGTTTCAAAAGAGTAACTGTTGAGTTTTTTGTGAGCTCTTCGCAGCAGAATATAACTTTTCGAAGTATATTTAAAAAGGACGATTTACATGTCAGGGCTTGCAAACAATTCTGTTTGAATAAAGACGATTTGAATTCGTAATAAATGCACCATTTTTCGTGCCAAGTAGCCATGGATGGTATTTTGAATCCATTTGACTACGTTTGTAGTGAAATTTCTGAGTAGCGCGATTCTGAGATATTTTTGTCAAAATGATCAGTAACGCGCGCGTTAAATTCTGGTAATGCTACCATCTAGCTGGCTGTAATAAACCTTTGTAATAAAATAAATATCAATATCATGGATGTTTATTTTCCTTCAATATCATTAGACAGATATTATCCTTTAGATATGTCATGAATATTGTTTTTCTTTTAAGATACTAACATGATAAAGATGTAAATATTTGTTTATGTGGCATACAAAAAAATAATTTTGATATTGGTTAATAAACGTAATATATATATTATTGGTTAATAAATATTGGTTAATAAATATTGGTTAATAAAGTTTTAAATTCACTATCAGGACTTAACGCGATAAATTTTTTTTTGTCCAATATTTTTCTTTTATTTTTAAATATTTATATACGAGTATATAGTAGCTTTAGAAATGAATTAGGTACGTAGGTATTAAGGCACTTAAAGATAGGTAGATAAATTTTGTAACGAAACTTTTTTGTCTAAACTAGAACAAAGATTAACAAGCCGAGACGTTTTTGGTACTGGCAGTTGATAATTCAAACGGAGAAAAATTATAGCTTTCCTCGAGCCAACTTTTTACGTATTTCGCATAAAAAATCCGTTATGGATTCCAGACGTTATGTTCGCATTTTTTGTCAAATAGATACATCATAATATTAGGTTTTTTGACACAAATTGAAAAATAGCCTTTTAACAGTGTCCATAAATCTAAAAGTATGACATTAATTTTGAATTTATTTTAACGAGTCAACAAGCATTTTATTATTTATTCTTTTTAATCTATATAATTGTTACCATAGATTAAACAATAGTGTCTAAAATATGTACTTAAGTGTACAGTATACAGAACAGTATTAACTCGTACTAGGTTTTATGTTTGTTGTTCCTATGATACCACGTAATAAATACCATGATGCTCACCATAGCATCAAAGTATTTTCTATGTGGTATTAAATCCCTATAGTGGTAGTATCCGGAGATGAATAAAATTTGTTACTATTCTCTTTTATTCCCTATATGGAAAATATATAAATACCCTTGGACAGACTGTATAACGTTGTCTAGTTTTACTCTAAGTAGATCTTGTACTATGAGTACTACACAACTAATAGAAATATTTATTTATTGAACTTTAATACATTTAGACAGTGTAAAAGGCTAATTTAACACCATTTAGCGTAATCTACCAGTCAACCGTAAGCAGGAGTAACAGAGAATATAATTGACGCTACAACGTAATAAGGGAATAAACAGAAAAATATAGGGTACATATATATAAGTAATGTAAACGAATACTTATGTATTTACTCTATAAAAAATATATACTCGTATAAAAAATAACACATATATAATACTAATACTATCTACATTATACTAATAATACCAGAGGGAAACTTTGTACAAAAGTCGTTTGCTTGGGTACCTCTGCCCATTCGTGTTTCAACCGTAAAGCAGTTGTGTCTGCATGGCTGTGCTTTGGTTTGAAGAGTAGGATATGGCGTGAATTTACAGGGTACAGAGGAATAACACCTGAGTCCTCAGAAAAGGCAACGCATGGGGGGTATCATGGGCGAAATAGTATACTCTGTTATGTCCATAGTACTGCTCATGTCTATAGGCGACGGTTACCGGTTTCTATCAGGTGGGCCGTCAGCTTGTTTGCCATTCTAAGTTGTATAAAAAAATTGATATATATATAAATTTGGTATCTATTTTTTTATATGGATTGTAATGGAATGGTAACCACGCCTGCGCTATCGGTATACGCTGGCGAGACACTAGTGAAAGATGATAAAAGCATATCAGTTATATCAATAAATGTTTTCTCCCACGAACACTCAGGTTATGGAATGAGTTCCCTGCCGAGGTTTTCCCAAGAGACTACAGCATGAGGTTCTTTAAAAGGGGGTAAAGAGGTTTCTTCAGGGTCGGTAATGCGCGCGTAATACCCCTGGTATTGTAGGCGTTCGTAGACTACGGTAACCACTTGCCATGAGGTGGGCCGTATGCTTGATTGCCACCTCAGTGGTATAAAAAAAATCTGTTGGCCCATCGTAACAAATTCGTCAAGAATAAACAACGATGCTTTATAGTGTGGAGGTTGATCTGACATGAATATACCCTATATTGTTAGCAATGCAAAATTCTTCCCTCTTTTAGGTAAATATTAGATAGTCGAATATTTGCGAAATTTCAGTGAGGAGTTATTATCTTCTTTCATATGTTAGGTATAATATATGCTGTTGGCACTAAGGCCCAGGAATTTATGAGGCCGTACCTTTCTGCTTTAAGAGCTTTATTGATTTTATGGGGGCTCATACTGAATAACTAATGTGGGAAAATATTAATTCAAGATTTGCACGAGATTTATATTATTCAAAGAGATGGCTTCATGTTGAATGAGTATTTCAGAGCCGTAAATTCGTGGTAATTTGAAATGTTGATTAGAAAATTTGATTCCCACGACAGTATTCTGTACAAATGAATTTATGTTATTTAGTTTTGACATAGATAATATAATACTATATGGTTTTGACTTGTGATGTGTGATACGTGCGGAAATGCATGTATTATAGAAAGCTATGTATTTATTTATTATAAATTATATAAAATTTCTTTTAATATATTTTAATCGGATGATAATGTAATGACAAATATATTTTTACGTGCGGGGTAAACACATACTAGTCATGAAGATTGAAGTACGTTTACCAAAAATTCTACTAAAAATTTGGTACATAAAACCTAATAATAAAGACAGCTAAGACACCAGTGATTGATGATAAGTGTAGAAGAACTCGGTTAGTTTAGTTCACTTATAATCTTTTCTAGTTTGCTATATTAGTTATATTAGTAGTTGGTATCTAGTTAGTTTTTTAGAATTGCTAGTAATGGGATCTAACTTTTCTATTGTAGCAATATACTCTAGCAGGTCTACACCGTTCCCCTGGAAACCGTCGTGGTTAATAACTGTTGAATTCGTTATGATGGCCAACTGGCTTGTCTTCATCCTTATCTATCATATCAAAATTTTAATGGCACCAATCTGAATATCTTTTCTGAACAGAAAATTCCGAATCGGTTTATAACTGACAGAGTTATGAGGTAACAAACATAAAAAAAACCGAATTGACAATCTACTCCTTCTTGAAGTCGGTTGAAAAAATAATGTTTTTTATACATTCATAAATACATCTAAAAGCTTTGCCATCGTACATTATGTTTCATAACTTGATTTTGCTGGAATTATAGCCTGGGAATAAATATTGGAAATTTCTAACCGTAATTAATTATTTTTGACTAAAGTAAATATCATATAATAGTAATTTACCAGAGGGAGACTTTGTACAAAAGCCGATTGCTTGGGTACCTCTGTCCCATTCGTGTTTCTACCGTGAAGCAGTTGTGTTTGCATGACTGTGTTTCGGTTTGAAGGGTGGGATATGGCGTGAATTTACTGGGTACAGAGGAATAACACCTAAATCCTCAGGAACGGCAACGCATGGGGGGTATCATGGGCGAAACAGTATACCCTGTTATGTCCACGGTACTGCTCATGCCTATAGGCGACGGTTACCACTTTCCATCAGGTGGGCCGTCAGCTTGTTTGCCATTCTAAGTTGTATAAAAAAAAAGTAATAAATAAACGTACCTCTTATTGGATACTTACATATAAGTATAATATCAATTTCATTAGTAAACAACAAATATTGTTATTACTTTTTTCCTTTACATGATTAAATCGAATATCACGGTTGTTATATTGAAGGAAATACACAACGAAATTACAGAACACGATGAATATACCAATCGGCTACTTATATATTTCTTTGAAAACGACTTGCAATATTCTGCTGTCCTACTTATATTATATCTAATATATAAAATTCTCGTGTCGCGGTGTTTGTTACCAAACTCCTCCGAAACGGCTTTACCGATTTTTATGAAATTTTGCGTGCATATTGGGTAGGTCTGAGAATCGTCCAACATCTATTTTTCATACCCCTCAATGATAAGGGTGACCCACCTCTAAATATTTTTTTTTTATTTTTCTGACAATTTTTTTTATTTTTATTTTATTATGATTTAGCATTAAAAAATACATACAAATTCATATTTTCACGCTTTTACGATCAACCCCTATTGTTTAATCGCAGTTTTTATATGCCGCAATAGGGCTGCAAGATGACAATCGAATATAATAATTGTAGTACGATAGATTTTCATGTATAGTTCTTAAAGTAATGTATATGGTAAAACAACGTTTACCGAGTCGGCTAGTACTTATATAAAAATTTGTAAAAATGTTTGTGTTTCTTACTCAATCGTGCTCAAACAGCCGAACGGATTTCAATTAAATTTTGTATACAGATGCATCATAATTTATTATCCCATACAGATATAATTAAATTAGATTAATTATATAGGATATTATTAATTTAAGGGAGAAATTCTTGGGATTCAGTTAGAATAAAATATAATTTAATTACATTTTAATCAAATACTGCAGGGTGATCCTTTTCCAAATCTATTTACAAGTGAATAGAATAGAATGACATAAGAATACTATACAAAGTAAGTTAAGGGTATAGAAAAAGTTCTAACCTATTTTGTGGAGTGGAAGGGATTTTTAGTAACAGGAAATATGGAAGCGCAGGTATTATCCTTAATTAATCCATT